GAGAGATCGGGCACAGCAAAGGAGGTGAGCATGTGGGGGCTGATGTGGGGAAGGCATCTCTCTTTCTTTCCCACTAACGCTGGGCTGACTCTGTGGAGTCCGGCCAAGTGCAGCAGACAGGGATAATCCGCGGACATTTTCTTCTGTAGTGTCAGAGCAGGGATCCATCATTATCTCCAGAAGAGCATGAATTAATTAACCATCATAACAAAACGAGGTCTGGTCCATCCAAATTCTTAGGCCTGCATAAACCCTAGAAGATAAAACTTCCTTTGAACTTATGAGTGTGTCCAGAAGGCAAACAGAGGCAACTTGAAAAGGATTTACTGCCAGAGTCTCCTTGTTTCAACAGCTTTCTTTCTGACCCATTGTTGCTTTTCCTTCTGTTCACCTTTCTCTTTCTCACTGATTTTCTTCCAACTCCTGTTTAAAGGACCCTAGGTCCACTGGCTCTGGAAGCTGCCCCCTGGCAGGCCACAGGCATCCGTGGAAAGGAGGTTTCCATTTGCTCACAAAGAAGAGCACAGGTAGTTTGAGCTGGAGATGACTCCAGGGCAAGAATTTGGGTCCTTCAGGAACAACCTCAGCCCACACAAACTCTGTTCCAGAAAGCAAGAATAGAGTCCTGCCCCCTGGCTCCAGGGGAAAAACTGCAATGTAGTGGGTGACTCTGCGTTCTGTTCTTTTGCATTAATGTGGCTGTTTGAAAAGGGGAACAGAGAACATGACGGTTTTTACTTAGTTGTTAGAAGCAGCACTTGCCCAGGCCATCTCCCTTTTTGTGCAGTAGGTGTCAGCCACACACAGCCTTTCTTTGTAGGTCCACCACTACCTGTAGGACAGCAAAGCCTCCCTCCTTTTCCTGGTTAGAAGGATCAATTTCTCCCCATGTTAAGCATACTACCGAACAATGAGAATGGTCTGTCAGAAGCTGGAAATAGAGTTATGCTAAATAGTTAGGACATGGAGAGGATGCAAATGTTGGGCGACCTGGATTAAGTCCTGCAGGTCTCACTGAGCCCCACTGTCAAGTGCTGACATCAAGTGGGCCTGCAAAAGATTCAGTTATGACACCAGCTCAAGAACATGTGAGGACAGGGCTAGATCAGAATTCTCTTGCCAGGTATGGTGGCACGTACCTATAGACCCAGCATTAGGGAGGCAGAGACAAGAGGATTGCCACGTAGTGAGTTCAAGACCAGCATGAACTACATAGTGAAACCCTATCTCAAAACAAACAAACAAGCAAAAGTCTTCTCTTTACAAGTGAAAAGTTGAACCATCAACTATGATAGCCTGGAAAAAGCATTTAGTGTAAGCCACTGGTGTCCTATTTGCCCAGTAAATTAAATATCTGATCTTTGACCTTAGGTAACACACTCCCTTGAGCCTTAGTATTATGATCTTTAAAATCTTTAAGATAAGAGATGGGGTTAGGCTCAGTGATAGAACTGTTATGTAGCTTGTGGAAAGCTCTGGGTTTGATGCTAAGCACCATAAAAATAAACAAATCTTTAGAATAACTACTTTATCTGTTCAAGATCTTTGATGAAGGAGGAATAATATATTGTTTAGAAAAGTTGTGAACTGTAAAGCACATTTGATATTTATGTATTTATTTTTGAGATAGACATGTGGTATAGTTCATGCTGGCATTGAGTTCACTACTAGCCCACCCTGGCCTTGAACTCTCAAATCCTCCTGCCTCAGTTTTCCTAGTGCTGGGATTATAGTCATAGGCCACTATGCTCAGCTCCAAGAGCAATTTGAATGTAGAGAAAAATAAGAAAAAAAATTTGGCCAGGTGTGGTGGCCCATGCCTATAATCCCAGCACTCAGGATGCTGAGGCAGGAGGATAGTTGCAAGTTTAAGATCAGCTTGGGCTACAAAGTGAGCTCAAGGCCAGCCTAAGCTGCATAGAGAGATTGTCTCAAATAAATAAATAAATAAATAAATAAAATTTAAAAAATAAAAATTTATTTTCTTTAATCTTGAGTTAAAAAAAAAGGCAAATGTACAACAAAGATATATTTTCAAGGATTTTTTTGTTCAGTCTGTGTGGCATGATAACTGCTTTTAAGGGGAAGATAAGATTTCTTTGTACTTTTAATTAATACTGTGATATTGTAGGCACTAAAGCAGAGCTAGCAGTGCTTTCTCGAGTTTCACCTTGGTTTACTTTAACAGGTTGAGATGTTTGTGGTAGGATGTAACTTAACTGTTAACTCTGAGGTCTGAAGTGCTTAGCTGCAGAGCCAGATTGCTTAGTAGACCAGATCTTGTGTCTCTGAAGTGTTGAGATTCCCTCATGTTTAAAGGAATATTTGTTAAGATAGCTTGAGTTTTCTTATAGGATCTTTTATTAAACTTTCCCCAGTAGTTTCAGATCCGCATGTCCTAGGCTTCTAGAAGTACGGTGTACTGAAAACTTGACGGCAGGAGCTGCACGGGCTTGTTTTCCAAAGAAAAGTACTCTTTCAAGGGAGAGACAACTTCTAGGCTATTTCAAAAATCATTCGGAACAAGGCCTGTGAGTGGAAGTTAGTGCCCAGGTCACATTCTGCTAAGAGGTAATAAATACAGCTGAGTTTAAAAATAAAAAAAAAATTTTTAAAAAAGATATAGGTAAAAAAGAATTGAGTACTGCAGGGCTCGATGGTGCATGCCTGTAACCCCAGCACTTTGAGAGGCTGAGGCAGAAGCCTAATCTGGTCAATTTAGCAGGATGCTGTCTAAAAATAAAAAAGAACTTAGTATTCAAAATTTAATAAGATTTAGTTAATTATTTTTCTCAACATACTTTAATACTTTTTCTGCCTTGTGTTCAATGTTAATCACAGGACACATTTAGAGTTTTATGTTGCAAAAGATCTGGACCTAAAGAGCGGCACCTAATGGGAATAATGGTCCCTCTGGAGGAAGGGAGGGATTCCTTTCCTGGCTTTTACATTGCACCATTAATAGACTGCCATAAGCCACTTGTAAATTGCAAGTGCTTAAAAAAAAAAAAAAAAGCAATATTAATCTTCAACAACTCTTTCTCTCCAATTCGGTGCACACTCTATCCCAAGAATATATTTGATCTCATAACTGCCTTTAGCATCCTATTTTATAAATTGAGAGGGCTCAAGCTTTTTGGATTATCAATTTGCACTGATTGTGTAGAGAGGCCTCAATTTCATAAGTCACATTTTATCCCACAGTAAAACCATTTAAATTAGCCTAACCATTCAAATTAGCACCACAAAACATTAAGGAAGAACTCACATTTGAGAAGAAAGATGATTTGTTTTATCTCTTGATATTGAAATCTGAGTAGAAGTCTTCAAATTAGATTGGCTAACTGAATCTATCAAATTTTCCCTGTTTCCTAAGGTTGTCAGTAAAGACCAGAGGCAGTTCAAATTTCTTTCCATTACTCATTCCCTCCTATGGAGTTTTGTGCTATATATTCATTCCCTGCCATGTCTGTTCTTTTCGTTGAAAAATCCCTTACATACCACCCTTTACTTTCTTTTTTTCTTTTTTTACTTTTTTCTTTGTTTTTCTGAGGCTTTCAATTTACTATACCTTGAACCAGCAGAAGAAGAGGAGTTGAAATCTCAACCTTTACCAAAAAAAAAAAAAAAAAAAACAGAAAAAAATCTCAACCTTTGAAACCTCTTAATCCTTGCTGAGTAATCAAGGAGCAAACTGAAAAGAAGACTGCTGATTGGACTTTACCCTATTTGAAAATGGTTTTGCATTTGGCTCAGCCATTGAAAATTAAGTATTTATTTGCCTTGAAACCTCAAATCTTTTGGAACATCTTCTATAAAGTGAGGCCAAATCTCTGTAGTTTATGATCAGGTTGGCAAACCTTATTTTTCATATCCACTTTAAAATAAATAAAAGTTGCATAATACATTTGATAATATTTAAGGGAGCAGAGTGGACAGAGAGGTAAAGAGGATCAAGACATGGTGCGTATATACTCATTTCTCTCCGCGAACATATTTACCACGTATTGGAAAAGTATGCAAATAAATAAAAAAAATTTTTAAGATCCAAAATTGCTTTAAACCTGTGGGGTTGTCTCTGCTATATTGCATCAGTTATTGTTTTTTGGGTTTTTTTTTTCCTTTCTTTCTTTCAAGGTACTTTACAGTTAGAGATAGCACTGCTCTTGTGGAAAAGCAAAACAGTTTCTGAGTGAAATTCCTCTGGGAAGAGAAGGTACAATACCAGTACATAATGTGTTAGTCGTCTTTTTTCCCTGGTTGGTTACTAGGAATGGGACCCAGGGCCTCCCACATGTGAGGCAACTTCTCCAGCCCGTAAAGCCAGTAAATCTGCTTTATGAGCACTACAAGACGGGTCATTTCTCCCATCTACTTTTCAAATAACGTAGACACAAATATGGACGCAAAGTTGTGGACCATGGTCAGAGGTGCCCACCCCCCAAGTCAACTCCACATGAGGTCGGAGGACAGAGCAGCTACCGTCTCTTCATGGAAATTTTGTTTCTTTTACATTCTTCATTGCTCACTGTGTCACTAAATGAAACTCTTTGCCATCATTATTAATTCCTTCCATTCGAAGTGATTTAAGATGATGCCCCTGCAACCTTCTCTCCTATATCCTCAAATAAGCCATACCTAAATAAAACACCTCCCCTTTTATTTCTGATGACATTAAAAGTAAGTGTACAACTGTTCCCTTTATAAATCTCACAAGTGCCGCACGACCTATCATGCAATACTAGCTAAGGAGCTCTCCGGGAGAGGTTGATGTGAAAGGATTTTTACTTCCACTTCGGTACAAGAAGAAAGCGATTATTACAAAGAGAAGGGTTATTCATTTATTTATTTATTTTTAAGAGAAGGACTTTAATCCATTTCCCCTGCGATCTCTGGGGGCTCTGGGCTAACGTTTAGAGGAGGAGGTGGAAAAGAAGGAGCCCAGGATGGAGGAATCGGGGGCGGAGCCTGACCAGCAAATAAAGCCCGTGGCTAAAAGGGAAGCACATTCGAGTGCGCAGGAGCCGCTCTCCCGCAGCCTAGAGTCGCTCTCCTGCAGCCCGGAGCGAGGGAGCAGCTGGCGCCCAGAGCCCGAGAGCAACCCGGGAGCGAGAAGGAGGCGAGGGGATAGAGCCGCGCTGAAGAAGCGGAAGCCGAGCGGGGAGGGGAAAGCGAGCCTCAGCAGGTGGAAACCAGATCTAGAGCCAACCCGCTGGGTCCACGGCATTGTTTTTGTGGACGAGAAGAAAGTACCTGAGGATTGCCCTTTCCCCCATCTCAGGCAGCGAAAACTACTTCTATCCTCCTTTAAAGAAAGGACCAAGGGGAAGCCAAGGCAATCCCTGAGAGCTGCAGGGAAATCCAGGCTGTCTTTTTGCACGGACCAGAGCCATCCTGCTTTCGAAGAGCCCCTTGGTTCTGGAGAATTCCAGCTGGACCAGCGAGACTGCTCTATTTTTACACTTAAATATATATGTCCTCTAGCGACACGATCCTTGTTGGTAAGCACAGGTGACAAGGACGGGTCGGTACAAAGGAATATTTTTCAGTTTTTCCCTTTTCTCTGCTCGTCTGGGTAGAGGTCAGGAGTGGTCCCGATTTCGAAAAAGGGCGTATAAATTTGAAAAGTCTCTCTTTACCTGCACCCACATACTGACGCACATACGCGCTTAGAGAGGCAGGTTGCTTTTGGAAAGGCTGGAACCCAACTAAGAAAGATGGAAAAAGGAGCGCGGCACCGCAGCAGCGCGGAGAAGAACGCCCCTGCCGATGGCGAGTGCGAGGCCGGACCCGGGGCCGGCTCCGGGGCGGGCGGGGTGGCCCTGAAGAAGGAGATCGGATTGGTCAGCGCCTGCGGGATCATCGTGGGTGAGTGCGCGCCTCCCGCCGGCAGGGCCACTTTGGGGTGCGCCGGAGTTTTAACCCCTCTGGAGCTCCTGTTTACTTCCTATCTCATATAACCCACCTCCCCTGGTCAAGTTTGAAAAGTGTGGGAATCGGTCTGTGTCTCACATCGGTTCCTCCAAAGCAGGCTGCACAGCTCTGTGCATAGAATGGAACCAATAGGGGTCAAGGGGACCTGGACCTGGTGAACCGCGCATCCTGGCAGTGCCCCCGGAAGCCTGGTAAAAATGTAGGTCTCTTGGCCTTTCCCTTGGAGCTTCCAGTTGAGACGAGTCTGATTCAAGCTCAGGGACCTAGTTTTTAAACTAGCTTCTAGACAGCTAGCCTCAGCAGGCTGCGGCTTTTGAAGCACATTTAGTGGATACTTTGTTGTTTGATGTTGTTGGAAGCTGTGGGATGTGTCAAAAAATAGCATCAAGGTCCACAGCTATAATGCTTTGGGTTTGTCGCCTTTCCCATCCGATGAAGCACTTTCGTTGTATGGAGGTAACAAGGCTGCTATTCCCATTTCACAGGAAATTGTGGGAGAAAGAGTGGGTAGGCCACGCTCTTCTGTAATGAAGAGTTTACAGGTTTTTCAGTTGCCTAGGAAAGTCCTCATGACTCTTAACACACCCGAAGACCCCGTGAGGGTCTCAGAATCAGGAGTAACCAGAGTGGGGCAAGGAGGAGGAGGTGCTGGGCCGCGGAGATAGCTCAGTGGAATAAGTGCTTCCCTGGCAAGCGCAAGGGTCTGAGTTCAATCCCCGGTGGCCCCGGTCTACACGCTATGGTACTGGGGTCCCACATGCAACCTCAAAGGACACTGTAGCCTCCTCTTCCTAGAGAAGTGCAGAGGGCAATGGCTCATTCCTGCCCTCACTTTGGATAGTGAGGATTGGAACCTTCCTCCTGGATGGTCAGGCCCAGATGCGTTTCTGTGTCACTACTCCTTTTTGATTTTTTGGTACCACGAATCCAACTCAGGACCTCGTGTTTGCCAGGCAGGAGCCTTGCCACTGAGCTATATCCCGGGTCCTGTGTCATTACTCTTGAAGTTGCTCTGTGAAGGATTCCTCTGTCCTCATGCCCTGTGAACCAGTTTGCCTGGACCATACCGTGTTCCATGCATAGCTCTTAGATATTTTGGCATCTGAGCCGCGGTGATACCGGAGAGCACCCTTGAAGTCAAATAAAATCAGCGCAGCATTCAGATAATCCTCTTCACCTCCACACCCAGACTTCAGGGATTCATGCTCAGTCCCTTTCAAAATGGAATCCCACTTCCCCGAATTCTCTATGAGAAAATTTCCAGGCATCTACAGTTATAAAGATGTAATGTTATTTTTAAAAAACTGTATGCATGATGTGAACCTTTCATCATCTTTTGTCATTATACTTTTTTTCCCCCTGGTATCTCCTTTACTTTATCTCAAATTCTCTGAAAAATGAGATCAGCCAGGTACTCATTATGTATGTATGGCACATGCCAATTAAAGGTCTATAAATAGCCCAGAGTCTATTACCTTCCATCAGTTCAACTGATAGCATTAGGCCCTTCCCTCCCTTTGGGAAGGTTTTCATTCACAGGCAGATGTGCAGATGTGCAGACGATGCACACATTTGATCACCCCTCCCCCTTATACACAGGTATTCACAGGTAGAGAGGATTTTTCTATATATGGACTGAGGTTTCTATTTCTTTAATGTTTTTCTAATACTGTGAGTAAATGGAAGTGTTCAGGTGTAAGTTCAATTTCGGTGGTATGGATGTCACTCCCACGCCATCTGTGACTTCACAAACCATACTTCAATGTGAAAATAGTCCCAAAGCTCCCACAGTGACATTGCAGAAATGAAAACACCAGCTGTGGTATTCTATGGAAAAAGAGATTCTAAGTAACAGTATGTGATTTCAGAAAGATCGGGATGTTTTTCTAGTGGGGGGATCCTCGGAGAATCAACAGGCACTGTACTACCTTCCCCCCCCCCCCCAAGCTATAATGAGAAGCAGATCTCCCGCTTTAGGATGACTTAAGGGAAAAATCTTGTTTGCTGTCCTCCTGTGAGGCTATTGAGTTGCAGATGTGCCAAGGAGCTGCCCTGTCCTCTTCTAAAGGGATTTCCAAGTTGATTTAAGTTCTTTCGAGATCAAATGCAAAAACAGAATTTGTATTTTCCATGCAGTTCAGGGATCTGGTGTTCAATGTCAACACTATGGAAAAAGAAAATTAAAAGGCAAAAAGGACATTTCCTAAGTGAATCAGATGATAGGTTTGAGAAAATGCCATTTGCTAGAAATATGCCTGAGACCCAGCTGACAGAGAGATAAGTTAAATTCTATGTTTCATACAGGCTTGCAATTTTCATTCACAGTCATCATGAATGATGAAAAGGAGGAATAACAAAATGGTTGGTATTATGGAAATAAAAAATGCACTGGGGCTGGGGAGATAGCTCAGTAGAATAAGCACTTGCCTGGCAAGTGCAAGGGCCTGAGTTCAATCCCTGGTTCCACAAGAAAGAAACAAAGAAAGAAACAAAGAAAGAAAGAAAGAAAGAAAGAAAGAAAGAAAGAAAGAAAGAAAGAAAGAAAGAAAGAAAGAAAGAAGTAAAAGCCAGGTATAATGGTGCATACCTGTAATCGAAGCATTCAGGAGGCTGAGGTAGGAGGACTGTCATAAGTTTGAGGCCAGGCTGAGGTACATAGTGAGTTCAAACCCAGCATGAACTACATAGTAAGATTCATTCTTGAAGAAACAATGAAGAAGAAGAACTAATAGAACATTGATGCCCTAGAGTTACTTATAATCTGATTAGGAGATGAAATTCATAGGCATTACATAGAGAACAATTGAGAGTTAGCAATAGAATTTAGCTGTGTTGAGATCTGGCATGAGCCAGGTTAGGTGAAAGTCTATCAGGAGGCCCATGGAAAAAGTCTCACCAGCAACCAGATTAGTAAACCACTTAAAGGGTATGGGAGGAATGGGGTAGTGAGTACAACTCTGAGAGATTTTGTAAGTGATTCCTCAGGCAAAAATTGTTTTCTTTGGGCCAGGGGTGAGACTCAGTGATAAAGAACATGCTTAGCATGTTCAGGGTCCTGGGTTCAATCCCTAGCAGGAGAAAAAGAGAAAGTCATGTCTTACACACCTCAGAATCTTTAGTGCTTAACAGAGAGCCTAATATGCAACAATTATTCAGATGATTGTTGAATTCAATTGACTCTTGGGCAAAAATCTGAAGATAGTAGTAATAAGCATTTACCCAAAAAAGGTATTGGAGGGCCGGCCAGATAGTTCACTGGCCAGATAGTTCTGCTTAGGCAGAGCACAGGGACCAGGGTTCGATCCCTGGCGTGCCCTGCCAGCCCTGCCCTCAGGGCACACTGAGACCATTGAGACAGGGCATGGTGGCGCATGCCTTTAAGCCCAGCACTTGGGAGGCTGAAAACAAGAGGATCACTACACGTCTGATCTGTGTAGTAAGACCCTATAGACCCTATACTAAATACAAAAAAAAAAAAAAAAAAAAAAAGGCTGTGGCAGTGCACATTTATAATCCCAGCACTGGAAGGCTGAGGCAGGAAGATTGCTGTAATTTCAAGGCCAGCCAGGGCTGCATAATGAGTTCAAGTGCAGCCTAAACTACACAGTGAGACTGTCTCAAAAAAAAAAAAAAAGCTGGGCCTTTGGGTGCATTCCTGTAATCCTAGCACTTGGGAGGCAGAGGCAGGAGGATTGCTGCAAGTTTGCAACCAGCCTGGGCTACAAAGTGAGTTAAAGGCCAGTCTGAACTGCACAGCAAGGCACTGTCTAAAAAAAAAAAACCAGGAAGAAAAAAAAAAAAAAGACTGTTGGGGACCTGAATTTTTTTTTTTAAATTTTCAGTGTTTTGTTTTGAGACAGAGTGTCACTACACAGTCCAGTGCAGTCTTGAACTCTTGGCAATCCTCCTGCCTCAGTATCCTGAGTGATGGGATTACAGGCGTACACTGCCATACCTAGCCTCACTTGAAAACTTTGAAGTTAGGAATAATTTTATCAACCTGAGCAATTATGTATGTATGTCTTTGTTTATAGTGCCAGGGACCCACTCAGGGCTTGATGCGCACTAAGCAGGCATTCTACCACTCATCTACAACCCAGCCCTCCTTTTAAATTTCTAATATCATCTTTGTCCTAACTTTACCAGGCTATTGTTCTCCAGGTACCAGACTGAGGAAACCTTTGGTAACAAAAGAACTTAGATTTCACTGTGAACCAGGAGTCTCCCCCAAATCTAAAATGAATGTGAAAGATAGCAAAATTCATTTATAGATGATACTAAAACTATTGTTATGTTTGTGTGTGTTACTGGGGATTGAACACAGGACCTTTACTCTGAGGTACACCCCCACTGTTTTGTTTTTTTGCAGAACCAGGGACTGAACTCAGAACCTTGCACTTGCCAAGCAGGCACTTATGTCACTGAGATATCTTCCCAGCCCCTTGCTTTGTTTTTCAGACAGATCTTTCACAGTTGCTAGGCTGCCTAAACTGGGCTTGCACTTTTGATCTTCCTGTCTCAGCTTCACAGAGTGCAGGGATAACAGATGTCTGACACCACACCCAACCCCAAAACTATTGTTAATAGCTGTCATTATTAAATATATATATATATATATTACATGCCAGGCACTGCTCCAGTTACCTAATGTGCATTGTATGTTTGTCCCTCTAGGTGTTAGGTACTTATTAGCTCTTGCTACAGATAAAGAAATGCAAACTCAGGGATAAACAACCTGCTAAAGGTCACACAACTAAAGTCTTGGAATCAGGATTCCAACACAGAGCATGCCTAAAATCCTAACTCTCTCCTATTTCTAAGTCTAAATGTATATTATCCTGAGTGTGGGCAGAATTTTGTTTCATTTTGTTTTGTTTGTTCTTGTTGTTTTGAGAAAAATTCTCACTCTGCAGCCCAAGCTGGCCTCAGACTCC